GGTGGAGGGGAAGGGAGACCATGGTTTTGTAACAAAATAGCCTGTAGCACTGCATGCTCCCACCTGTCAAAGACCACCACCGGGGAGACTCAGACTCCCCAGTGGAGTTCCTTGATGAGATGGAGAGGTTTTGCTACATGTCAAAGATATACAGATGAGCAGAGATATAACCATAGATACACACTGCTTTCTTTTCAACAGATACTATATCAGGAGGCTGCAGCATCTGCTGCTGGGGCTGGAGGCTCGTCTCCCTGCCTGAAGGGGTATGTGTGTGTGAGAACCGAACAGCTAAACTCCAGCTGGTCCTTCCTGTAACAGAGTGTGGAGTGACCAGTCTGCAAGGGAATATGGGACAACACCTGCCCAGACCGATGCAGGACAGGGTTTAGGGATAAGTAGGATGAAGACAAACCTAGATTTCAAGATGAATGATGTGGTTGTTGTTTTAATGGGGGTGAAGAGAAGGACTGGAGGAAATGGGAAAATACATATGTTAGTGCTAAGGCAGAGGATGGTACTCATAGTCTCGACCTCCTACAAGAACTTCCGAGCTTGCTCTGAGGGCGGTGGTTCTCAGACTTTAGTGTGATAAGAACCACTCGGAGTGCTTGTTAGAGCCCATCCCCAGGGTTTCTGATTCAACAGGTCAGGGGTGGGGCCCAAATGTGCATTTCTCACAAGTTCCCAGACGCTGGTGCTGCTTGTCCTGGACCATGTTCTGAGAACCATCGCCCGAAGGGAAAGTCAATGAAACTAGTGCTCATAGCCATTTCTTACAGCTACAGCCTCACTCACCAGTAGCAGCTGATGCCGGTAAGATATCTCTGTGCTACCAGCCCCCATTAAAAACCAACCCTACCAGCTACAATACAAACCTGCCTCTACAAAGGACATAAGCTGCCTTAACCTTCCCTACTCTCCCAGCCTTGTCTCATTCTTTTCCCAAAAAGAGATGAAGTGGTACAAAGTGTGGGAATGGTGGCCAGCAGCCACCTATGCTCATTCCAGCTGGATCAGCACCCTGGGAGGGGGATTTGTGTCTGTGTGCACGTGTGTGTTGTAAACAGAAACAGAGAATCAGTTCTGTACTCCGAGGGGAGATTAAGGTGTGGGAGGTTGAGGATCCTCACTTATCTTATTCCTCCCTCCGCCCCTGTCAAACAAAAGTCTAAAGAAAGCATAAAGAGCACATCAACAAAGGCATATGTGATATAGCTAGAAGGACTGGATTCTAAACAGACTGGTTATGAAATAAAAAACAATACTTTTCCTTCCTGTGTATACAATGTACAATACTAACGGGAAATAATGACGTGGGGACGGAAAGGAAGTTCTGAAAGAAAGGAAGAACTTTTGCGGGGAGAGCTGTCTCAGGGTAGCACCTTTAATGGAGCCTCTCAGTGTGGGACACGGGCCTCAGAAGCCGGAGGAGAATACCTTGTGTCTGCTTGGTGGGCAGGCTGTAAACAGGCCTGGTTATGACGAAGCACCCTGTCCAGGAGTGGTGCTGGAGGGCAGGGAATCAGGAAAGGAGCCAAGAACAGCACAACAGGCATAGGAAGGCAACAAGGTGAGGTTCAGTTAGGTCACCTCTTTTACCACCACTGAGAGTAGATGGTCTAGGAAGCCAGATCTGGGTTATACAACCAACAGGGGAAGAGTCAGTAAAGCGCCTGCCCTTTCTGTCTCTCCCAGCTGTGGGGAAGCTTCTCAGGCTTTCCAGCTCTAAGCATGCTTTCAAGGAAATGGGCAGAAGCCTGCACACCACACCCGGTTCTGGCCCCTTTCTCTAGGCCAGGGGTGGGGAACCTTTTTCCTACCAAGGGCCATTTGGATATGTATAACATCATTCAAGGGTGATAAAAATTATTAACTTAAAAAAATTAGCCATCTATATTTGGTTAAACATTTAATTAACTCACCCCTAATGCCTTGCCAAATCCAGACCAAATGATTCCATGGGCCTTAAATGGCCTGCATGCCGGACGTTCCCCACCCCTGCTTTCTGGCCTTGCATGTCTAGCAGCTATGTCTTTGGAGTGAAGTGAGAGGCCTAGTCCTGTGTTCACTTGGAAGAGTCCTAGGGTCCACACCCCAGCTCCTTTCAGAAATGTCTTCCCTTAGCTCCCTAGGCAACCTAAAAAGGGCTAAATAATGCCCTCCATGATGTTTGGTTCTGGTCCAGATGAGTCTGGAAGGCAAAGAGCAGGGAAGAGCGGCCACATGGCTGGCAGCAAGGACAAGGTCGATAACATTCCCCTTAATATAAGACAGGCTTCATGGTAAGCAACTGCTCTGTCTTCTTAGTGAGACCGAGGACCAACTGAAGAGCTGGCTGGAGGCTTGTCCTGCCCCTTCCTCAAGTCACTGCTGCTTTTCTACTGAGGGTCTGTCAATGCCCCTCATATAGGTCCCCAGTGCTGACTTGCCACTGATGAAAATGAGATTAGACATGGGGTTAAGGAACGAGCCGAGACCCTCTACGTAAATGAGCCATCCTACTCAGGGGCAGATGGCAGGACAGCCTCCTCCAGCGCCCAGCAGCGAGGCAGGGCCTGTGTGAGATTCTTCACTTGAAACACACTTGACTGAAGGGGGAAGAAAATAGTGAAAGGTCTTACAAAGGCTCCTTAGGAGCCATAAACTCAGTCAAGCTTAAGGGCAAGGCTGCTGGTGGGAAATCAATAGAATAAAAAACTGAAACAAACTAAAGCAGAAGAGTCGGGGAGCAGCGTCTGAGAGCCCTGAGCACGAGTTATGGCTGTGAATTTTACAGGCGAGTGGAGTCCCCGGAGGCCGAGGCGGAAACCTGCATCCTGACCATCTGCCATGCCATTTGCTAATCTGAGTCACCTCAGGGGCTGTTCCTGCTGGGTCCCGGGTGGTAGAGGATGAGAAAACCACGTTTCTCTCCTTTCTCTTCACCAGGTGTGGCTTGTTCAGCACCGGCTCTGAAAGGGGAAATTAAAAACAATGCAGTAGAACATGTCACCTGACTGGCTGACCAGTTTATCACTGAGGAGATGGCAATCTTGTAGCTTAGAACATTTCCTCGTTCCCCTATGCCAGCCAATTTTGGAAGACAAAATAACAAAGGAAGTTGGGAGTTATCTGTATGTGTGTTTAAGATAGAGGTAGAGAGATGGAGAAAAGGACATTCTTGGCTTTGGCAGATGGCAGAAGGTGGCTCTGGGACAATTGGAAGGGTTTCATACTGAAGAGCTACTAAAGCTGACATACCTATCCACAGGCCCCTGGCTTTGGATTGCTTCCTATGGCCCTGGTAGAAATTGCATAGTTCAGAGCCAAAGGAAGATGAGAAGTCTTCATGGGGAAGAAAGAGAGACCAGAGGGATGAATTTCTTCCTCTGTAACCCAACTTTTCAAAGTGAGAATGGCTGAGAGCAATAGTCACCGATTTCCCAGGCAGGCTGGACCTTTCAACAAGCCGGGTTAGATCAGTACTGCACCTGCGCCGCCCCCCCTCCCTGCCCAACCTCCCCCATCCAACCTCGTACTCAGAAGCCCTCTCAGGACCCTGGCTATGATGCCTGAGTCCGGGGGTTGGCCTATGGAGAAGCACTGCATCCAGGGGGCAAAAAGCAGAAAAGAGCTGAAGAGAGACCTAGTGGCCAGGCTACGAGCTGAAAGAGAAAGAAGGTAGATCCAGAGGGCGTGGGACACTTGTGAACACAAGACCCTAGCTCAGAAAAGAAGACAGATGTGTGAGGCTGAGATGGGGGAGAGTGAGGGACAGCCTCCCTGGGCTGCATCTGAACCAGCCGTGGAAGAGACAGGAGAATGAAGAGGGAGAGGCAGAAGCGGAAAGCTGACCAAAAGGAATATGTATGCTTTGGTCAGACAACTCTTGTACAACACAAAGAATCCCTCCGTTAACCTGATGGAACAAGATTTCCTGCCTGACCTGATGATTAGACTGAAGGATGGAGCAGGGAGGGGAGGAGTCAGCCAGTCAGATCCTGGGCTCTTCCCCTTTGCACTACCAAGCCATATCTAATAAGGCCACCAGGTGAGATTGCAAGGCTTGGTGGGAAGTGGAAAAGAGCCCACCACTAGACTGGGAAAACTCAAGAGACAAAATGTGGTATCCAAATAGCTCTGGAAAGAGATTAAAAAGGACTAGAACTCTTGGGGTTTTGTTTCTTTTTCCTTTTTTTGGTTTTTGTTTGTTTGTTTTGGTAGAAGATATGGAGAAGGTCTAAAGTTTATGGAAGAGCTGGAAAAAATATTGCTACTTCATACATCAAAGGTAACTTTACAATCTCCCTAAGTGAGTATTTTGACTAGAATTTTGGGTGGGTAAAAAGGGATATAAGCAGCTACTGGGACACAATGTCCTGAGTCCATGAGGGGGCTGGAGATGGGTTAGCAGGTGGTACTCCATCAATTCTGGCTCTTTCTACCTAGCAGGTAGTGACATGCTGCTCAGGAACAAGACGGTAACAGTTATGGCTTATTGGGAAGAGAGGAAACTGGGAAACCTGAAACCTGGAAGTGCAAGGGTTAGTGTTAAAAGAGAGAAGCACAGGTGCGTGGGCAAGGGTGATTGACTGTTCAGACCATCTGGAAGGGCCTTGGCTGTGAGGACATCAGAAACCCCCGCTTAGGGGATGATCTATGTGGCTCTGGGGCTGGGAGGCTCCTAGTACAGGTGTCAACGTACACAACCATGTGGCTGAAGAGAAAAGCCCCACATCTGTCCTTTACTCACAACACACAGTTCCCCCCCATACTGCCATGTCCAGGACAGATGGGAGGGGATAAGATGACATCTTTCTTGGCTCTTGAACGGGCGAGCTCTGGCTGGGGACCTCTCCACCAGGGGAGGCATCATCTGCCCGCAGACTGGGACTGTGGAGTCATAATCACATGCGACTGTATCGGCATGCTCAGTTCTGTCCTTTGGCTGGCCATCTGAGTGAGGACTGAGGTGGCCACCGCTTCAGCTGCAGAGCGAACACTGAGGCCATTGCTGGGTGCTGTTGCTGAGCTGTGCTGAATCACAGGGGCTGGAGAACCCGTCGGCTCCGAGCTTTCCTTGGGGCTTTCTGCCAGGGAAGGAGGGCAAATAGCAGAGAGCAAGTGGTTAGAAAACAGAATGGGGAAACAGGCGAGACTACCTTTTGCCACAATTCTAAAGCAGGCCAAAGGAAAAGGAAGCCTTTCTTTTTTTGACTGGGGAGAAACTTCCCAGAATCTTGGCTTCTAAGCTATGAATGAGCTAGGAAGCAGTAAGCCGTGAGAAGGGAAATAAAAACTAAACAAGTTAACCTACCTATTCCAATAAAGCGAATCCCCAACATGCTAATTACACTGTCTGGCTTCTAGGTCTCTGTATGCAGTTCATTACCCTACTGCAGTGGTCAGCAAACTGTGGCTTGGCAAACCGTGGCTCGCAAGCCACATGCGGCTCTTTGGCCCCTTGAGTGTGGCTCTTCCACAAAATACCAACTTCTGCGCATGGGTCACGAAGTTCCAATCGCACTGTACGTGTGCGCCTGCATGTGGTATTTTGTGGAAGAGCCACACTCAAGAGGCCAAAGAGCCGCATGTGGCTCGCGAGCCTCGGTGTGCTGACCACGGCCCTACTGGAACAGTCTTCTTAGTCATGTTTTTAAAGGTGATTTTTGTTGTTGTTGTTAATTCTCACCCGAGGATACTTTTTCCATTGGTTTTTTTAGAGAGAGTGGAAGGGAGAGAGAGTGAAACATTGATGTGAGAGAGACACATTAATTGGTTGTCTCCTGCACACACCAGGACCAGGTACGTGCCCTTGACCAGGAGCTGAAGCTGGGACGCTTCGTGCATGGGTTAGTGCTCTAACCACTGAACAACCCAGCCAGGATTAAAGGTGATTTAAAATAGCTTTATTTTTAGGTATCCTTTCTGATTAATTCTCACAGGAACTGAATCATTCCGTTCTTTTTTATATTCCTTTAGCATGTATTGCACCATAGGTAAGCCTAATAAATATCAAGCTACAATCAAATAATGTCATAAATAATTAGTCCTTGGCCAAGGTTCACTTAACACAACAAACCCTAAAGAGTTTACCCTCCAAGCTATTACTTAGCTAGGTATTACCGATTTAAAATATTTACGATGAGTTATACCACTCCACCTAACGTAACGATAACATTTCACTAAACACAAATATCTGAACTGCATACTGATAACTCCATGTTGCTCATCAGTCAAGGAGCTTTCTTAAATGGCAGACAGCCTCGATGGCTGCTTAAATAGAGATGTGTGGAATGAGGGAAAACTTCCAATAGCTGGTGTATTTTTGACCTGAAGAATGCCTGAGTCTTCTTTTAGAATCTGTGAAGCCTTCTTTGTTGCACTCAGGAAAGTAACTATCACTCTGCTTGTGCTTTCAGAGCACACATTCATTTATTCATCACATATTTACTGAGCATCGTCCATGCCAGACACTGGGGTACATAAAGAATAAAACGGTAGCCCTGTCCTTAGGAAGCTCCCAGTCTAAGGGCTTTCTTAACAGGGATATCTGTGCTTACCCTACTAACAGGTTGACATGTTTATCTCCTCATAGCCCTGAGTCTCTCAGAGGTAGAGACAGTGTCTCATGTGTATTGTGTTAAATACCTACTATAATGTCTACATCATAAAGCAGGAACTACATTCATTTTTGCTGTAACAAATAAGTAGTTTAATGGAAGGACTACATGTCAGAGTTCTTGTAGGGATTGAGTAGAAAACTTACTGTATATAGATTTCATACCGATAGATACCCCTGTCTTCCTTTCTGCCAAGGGCCACCTGGATATTTATAACATCATTCGAGAGCCATACAAAATTATCAACTTAAAAATCAGTCTGCTGCCCGTGTTTGTTTGGGGTGGGGTTTTTCATTAAACCCTGTGGATTTTTACTTTGCATCTTAAATGTTATACTGCAGGCCACAGGCATGACAGGCAATGAGCAGGTGAAGAAACAATGGGAAAGTGTTCAAAAACTCCTGTGTTGGCTAACGGGGTTCTGAATGCATCGCTGTGGTCCACAGAGAAGGCTGAAGGTAGCAAAGAGATGCTGTATCAGCTACTGCAGCCTTAAAACAAAGTTGGTGTCTCTTTGGACTTTAAAATTGTTCCTATGCAACTTATTTTATTTTTGTTTAATCAAATAAGCAAGAGGGCTTTTTTTTTTTTTCTCATGGGGGGGAAAACATTAGTCTGCTGCCCTAGCTGGTTTGGCTCAGTGAATAGAGTGTTGGCCTGTGGACCGAAGGGTCCTGGGTTCGAGTCAGGTCAAGGGCACGTACCTTGGTTGCAGGATCCCTGGCCCTGGTCGGGGCGCATGGAGGAGGCAATCAATTGATGTGTCTCTCACATTGATGTTTCTCTCTGTCTCTCCCTCTCCCCTCCATCTCTCTAAGAATCAATGGAAAAATATTCTCAGGTGAGGATTAGCAACAACAATAACAAAAAAATTAGTCTGCTATCGTTGGTCCCAAACATTTAATTAACTTACCCGTAATGCCTTGGCAGGGCCAGACCAAATGATTTTGTGGGCCCGACATTCCCCACCCCTGCTTTAGTTCATGAAAAGTTTCTGAAATGGTTGATCACACATTGTAAAACACTTAATCTTGGTTTACAGAACACTACACTCAGCTACTCAGCTGGTTTTCCTCCTACCTTTTAAGCTGCTCATTCTCAGTCACTTTTGTGGGTTCCTTCTCATCTCTCTGACCTCAAATGTTGTAGTACCCCAGGGCTGAGCTCTGGGACTTCTCTTTTTCTACCTATGGGCTCTCCCTTGACAACAGTATTTCATCCAGTTTCATGGCATTAAAAACTAACTAGCCCGGCCACGGTGGCTCAGTGGTTGAGCATCGACCTATGAATCAGGAGGTTACGGTTTGATTCCTGGTCAGGTTACATGCCCAGGTTGCAGGCTTGATCCCCAATCATGCAGGAGACAGCCAATCAATGATTCTATCTCATCATTGATGTTTCCATCTCTCTCTCCCTCTCCCTCTCTAAAATCAATAAAAATGTATTTTAAAAAACCTAACTATATGCTGCTGACTCCCATTGTCATATCTTGCAGACTTTCCTCTGAACTGCAGACCCATGTAACCAGCTGTCTGCTTGACTCCACCTTCAAAACAAATAGGCTTCTGCCCAGCTCGTGTGGCTCAACTGGTTGAGCCTCCTCCCATGTACTGGGAGGTGGTGGTTCAATTCCCAATTAGAGCACATGTCCATGTTATAGGCTTGATCGGGGTGTGTGCAGGAGGCAACCAATCGATGTGTCTCTCTCACACTGATGTTTCTCTCTCTCTTCTTCCCTCCCTCCCTCCTTTCCATTTTCTCTAAAAAAAAAAAAAAAAAAAAAAAAAATCAATGGGAAAAATATTCTTGGTGAATATTAACAAAAACAAACAAACAAAAAGACTGACAGGCTTCTTAAACTCACCTTGTCCAAAACTGAGCTCCAAATATACTTCCCAATTCATTTCCTCCTACACTTTCCCCTATTTCAATTAATGGCAAATACATTCTTGCAGTTGCTTGGGCCAAAAACTTTGGTGTAATTTTTATTCTTCTTGTTCTCATATATACTGTCCCATTTGGCCCATCATCAAACCCTGTCACTCTAAATTCAAAATATCCTGAATTCAACTCCTTCTCACCACTTTCACTTCCACCATCTTGGTCCAAGGCTCCAACTCTTGTGCAAATTGCAACAGCCTCCCGAGTGGACTGCCTGCTTCTGCCCTTGCACCCCTGCACTGACAGAGTGATCCTGTCCAAATGTGAGTCAGATCAGTCATTTCACAGCTCTGCTGAAAACCCTCTGATGGTCCCAGTGTAGGGTAAAAGCTGAGGTCCTCACCATGTCTGACAAGGCCCCACACAAAGATACTCCCTTTACCTTCCCTATCTCATCTCCAACTAGTCTCCAGGCCCATTCTCTCCAATCCAGCCACGCAGCCTCCTTGATGTTCCTACAATGTGCCAGGCAAGCTCCCACGTTGGATCGTTGTCTTTGCTCTTCTTCCTGCAGTACTTTTCTCCCACATAAGTGCGTGGCTAGCTCCCTCACTTCCTTAAGGTCTTTATTCAAAAGCTACTTCATAAAAAAACAAAAAAACAAAACCAACCAAACAAAAAAACCCCTAAAAGCCACCTTATCTAAAATTTCAACCCTGCTGCCAACACTGCATATTTCTCTTCATGTCTATTTTTTTCTTCCAAGAATTTACTATTTAAAAAATTTTAAAAATACATTTTTATTGATTTCAGAGAGAGGAAGGGAGAGGGAGAGATAGAAACATCAATGATGTCCTAGCCGGTTTGGCTCAGTGAATAGAGTGTCAGCCTGGGGACTAAAGGGTTCGATTCTGGTCAAGGGCACATGCCTCGGCTGCAGGCTTGATCCCCACTATGGGGTGTGCAGGAGGTAGCCAATCAATGATTCTCTCTCATCATTGATCTTTCTCTCTCTCTCCCTCTCCCTTCCTCTCTGAAATAAAAAAAAAGAAGAGATAACTAGAAAGATGGTAGAGTGCCTAACACAAATTAGGTTCCCAATAAACATAATCACCCTTTATCTGTGATGGTTAATTAGGAAAGTTCTATGTTCTAAAAAAAATTTTTTCCCCACAGTACTGGTTGCTCCACAAAGGCTGCTTCCTCATCAGTCTGGACCCCCCAGGACATTGAGAATAGAGTTATCCTTTATAATAAAAGCCTAATATGCAAAGTGTCCAGTCGTCCATTCAACCAATCAAAGCATAATATGCTAATGATATTCTAAGGCTGCTCAACCACTTGCTATGATGTGCACTGACCACCAGGGGGCAGACACTCTAATCAGTAGGTTAGCTTGCTGCTGGGGTCTGGACGATTGGGACTGAGCAAGAGGGGCCAGACATGCTCTGGAGCCCTCCTGCAGTCCTTCCCCAGCTGGCTAACCTCCGGCGTCCCTCCCGGCCCTGATCGTGCACCGGTGGGGTCCCTCATCCTGGCCTGACCCCTCAGGGGATGTTGGAGAGCTGGTTTCGGCCAGTCCTGCAGGCCAGGCCAAGGGACCCCACTGGTGCACGAATTTGTGCATTGGGCCTCTAGTAAAATTATAAACATTTGAGACACTCAGTACATTCTGACCTTGCTTAGGTTGTAAGCCACTCACCTAAGTAGCCTTGGGTCTTTTTCTGTAGTGCAGTGACTGGACAGTCTTTATGAGCTAACAGCAGCTGTTTCAACTGAGCCACCTCATTGCGTAGTAATGTGACTTCATTCTGAGGAGGGAGGGAAGAAAACAGTATCAAGAAAATCCATCCTTCACTCTTTAACCCCCAGTGTCCATCTCTCAAAGTGACGGCAGAATGCTGCCTCGATTTTCTCTTCCAAATCTGGAGACTTCTGACCCAGCCAGGCTTCAGCTAGCCCAGGGCCAGTAGAATCATGAGTTCAATGATGGAGCTGCTTACAGTGTAAGGTAGGGATTTACAATAGAAAAATTACTCCTATACAGGATAAACATGATTATACCAAAATTAATAATGCATATGTCCTTTGACTAAGAAAGCCGACTTCCATGAATCTATTTAACAGAACTACCTACTCAAGTGCATACAGTGTTCACTGCAGCACTGCTGTTCTAGCAAAAAGTTAGAAACATTACAAATACCCACACCTTGTAATGTAACCACACTATAGAGTGTACTATTATATAGCTATTTAAAAAAACACATGCCCTGACCAGTTTGGCTCAGTGGCTAGAGCGTCGGCCTGTGGACTGAAGAGTCCCAAGTTCGATTCCGGTCAGGGGCATGTACCTTGGTTGCGGGCACATCCCCAGTAGGGGGTGTGCAGCAGGCAGCTGATCCATGTTTCTCTCTCATGGATGTTTCTAACTCTCTATCCCTCTCCGTTCCTCTCTGTAAAAAATCAATAAAATATACTTAAAAAAACAACAACAAAAAACACACACAATCCCTCCCTGACTCCCCTACAAAACTATAAATGAAGATAATATTTAGAAATACATATATGTCTGGACCCTGGTTGGGTAGCTCAGTTGGTTAGAGCATTATCGCGATACACCAAGGTTGTGGGTTCAATTCCTGGTCAGAACACATACAAGAATCAACCAACGAATGCATAAATAAGTGGAATAACAAATTGATGTTTCTTTCTTTCTCTCATTCTCTCTAAAAAAAGTGTCTGGTAGGTGCACATCAAACTTACCTACAGGGAAAAGAATGAGTCTGGAAAGGCATGCTGAAGAGGGATTTTGTGTTTTTGTTGTTGTTGTTAATCCTCACCCGAGGATTTTTTCCATTGATTTTCAGAGAGAGTAGAAGGGAGGGGGAGGAGGAGAAAGAGAGAAACATCTGTGTGAAATAGAGACACATCAATTGGTTGCCTCCAGCAGTGCCCCAACCGTGGGGGCCAGGGATCGAACCTATGATCCAGGTATGTTCTCTTGACTGGGAGTTGAACCCGTGACCCTTAGGTGCTCAGAGGTGGGGTGGAGTAGGGGTGATGCTCTAACCATTGAGGACACCAGCCAGGGCTTGACTCTGTGTTTTTATTCTACCTGTTTGTGTGTATGTATGTGAATATATTACACTGTAATGCAATATTTTAAATAACCAGAAGAAGGAAAAATAATATTCAAGAAAATGTATGGATTATACTTGTTCTATTTTTGCTTGTGTGGCTTTTTCTTTCTTTCTTTTATTAAGCTGCATTATCTGGGGCAAATGCATTTCCCTTTGGGTATTCCATGACCCCAGTCAGAGTTTACTGATGACTTAAAAGAGCATCCTGGGGTGCTTAATCTAATTCCCTTCATCCAAATGGGTCTATGAATAAATCATTCCAGTAGCAGATTTGGCCATTGATGATGTCTTTTCCAATCCCTGGGGAAGAAATTTCAACTCTGACAGTAAGAGATTCTTTCTGCATTCTTCCTGGAACATCTTCTGTATCTGTCCTAACTTAAATAATTACCATCTTCTATTATATTGTCCCACTTTTTTCTGATTCAACACCACTTTCAAGACTCAACAATCTCAACAACCATCTAGGACCCACTCACACTCAGCTGAATGTTCTGAGAAGTGAGTTCCTCTGCCTTCTTCTCTAGGGAGGACACCCATAGCTTCCGCTTCTGACGGCAGCGAGAGGCAGCAGCCCGGTTGCGCTCCAGAAAGCGCTGCCGCCGCTCATCCGGATCTTCATCCACTGTGCGCCGCCGGCGCCCTCCTGTACTAGGAGTGGGCTGGGCTGGTGAGACCTGTTGCCCAAGAAGGAAGAGTTACTTGAAAGGAATTGAACCTGGTGTTAGGTATATTAGTAAGACCCGGAAAAGGGATGTATCAATCTCTGTAACCACAGCAAGTCTCATCACTATGTATACCCTTAGCTTCTCTTTTGTAATTGTTCCTCATTCTGTCTCCCATTTCCTTCCAGTCTTCTCAAGTCCCATACGTAGACAACCAGAGTTCAGTTGGAAACTGATTATTTCTGAGACAGACAGACAAAATGAAACTAGGATCACTTTTTGTTTCTTAGGAATAGGGAATCTTGTAGGGAAGGAAAGCATAAAGGAGGATATCGGGAACTTTCAGCAAGACTGGAATAAAAAGTTTACAAATCACTGATTTGGACAAGCAATATATACAAACAACTGAATGCTACAAGTTTCAGAAAAGAAGAAAAGATTTACTACTAGTGAGAATTAGGCTATTATGGAGAACTATGGATTAGTATATTCTTTTTATTCACAATCCTCATCAACCCTCCCCCCATCCTGTTTGTTCTTTTTTAAACAGAAGAGCATTTTTTAATCCCTTTATAAATTGGTGATATAGGATTGTCTTTTGTCTTCAAACTTCAGGCTGATGTCCCTTGACTTTTGGATCATCTTCCTTTCTGTTAAGCTGATAGACCAATTTTATAATAGCGGCAAAATAAAAATGTAGAGAGGTAAACCATCTGCATAAAACAAACTATATAATGTAAAACGCCACCAAAATATGTTCTAGATCTGTTGCTATTAAAGAATATCTATATTAGTTCCCCAATGCTAGAGCTCACATTAGCTGTATGAGAATAAGCATGAGCTTATAAAAAATAGAATCTTATACTCCATTTCAGGCCCTACTGAATCATGTTCTTCATTAAGATAATCAAGAGATAATTTTATTTATTCAGACTAATATCTCTCCCAAAAGAAAAAATGGGGAGGAAATTTCAAATTTAATTTAATGAGCTAGAAGCCTTAGGTCAATGCTTCTCACTACACCTAGGGAAATTTACACTAATTCTTTTTTTTAAAAAAATATATTTTATTGATTTCAAAAAGGACACTTATGTAATACCCTTTGTAATACTTTAAGCGAAAAATAAAAAAATTATTAAAAAAAAATATATATATATTTTATTGATTTCTTACAGAGAGGAAGGGAGAGGGATAGAGAGTTAGAAACATCGATGAGAGAGAAACATCGATCAGCTGCCTCCTGCACACTCCCTACTGGGTATGTGCCTGCAACCAAGGTACATGCTCTTGACTGGAATCGAACCTGGGACCCTTGAGTCCGCAGGCCGACGCTCTATCCATTGAGCCAAACCGGTTAGAGCTACACTAATTCTTTTGAAATTCAAAATTTCTTCTCTGCCCTGAGCTCATTGGACCACATGTAAAGGTTGACGCTTTACCAAGGATGGGGAAAAGGAAATGATAGGTTCCTATTCTCTCACAGGCAACTCACAGCTCATGCAGGGAATGGATGTGAAAGAACAGCCCAAGAGAGAGGGAAGAACGAGAAGGAAAGGAATCCGTGGTGACTAAAAAGGAGGTCGTATAATTTCCTCAAGAGGCAAAGCAGCACAATTCAGGCAAGGGGTTACTGCTCTACCATCTCCAAGGACTGGCATCGGAAGGGGGTACATGAGGGTGGGCAGACTTAGCTTCCAACAAGAAAATTCCAATGAAGGTTTTTGTTGCTGGCCAAGCTTTAAAGCAGCATATGAAAGGAATTAAACCTGGTGTTAGCTATACCAGGTTCTACCTCTTTGTGTGTATGTATGTGAATATATTACATTGTAATGAAATATCCTACATTACATGTTAGGACATGTGGTGGTAAATGATGAAGCAGGTGGTGACATCAGGAAAAGGGGCTGGGCAAAGAATGCAACTCTAGAAACCGATCTCAGATTGTTGTCACCTGTCTAGTACAGATAATACAAAACTGAGGCCTATTTGGTTTTCAAAGAAATTTACTAAAACTGAGGCCTCCTTGAGAAAAGAACTGGGCATCTAAATGGGACTGCCCTGTCTTAAGGGATTAAATTGATAAGGAAAAGTTGAATTTTTGTGTTTGTTTACTGAGCCATCTTAATACTGTGACATCACATATTAATATATTACTATTTGATTTTTGCTATAAAATATAATCAAGTAAGGTGGGGTTTGTTTTTTTGTTTGTTTTTTTTGCTATAAGATAATTTATTGCAGACTAGCCAATAATCTCCTATAACAATGGCACATACAATAATTAACAGCAAATCTGCTTAGTTTCTTCTTTAATATAATGAGCAACAGAGATGTGGACAACGCAGAGTCCTCAGAAAGTCCAGGAAGCTGCTACCAAGGATATTAACCCTTTGCGGTCGCTTGTCTACTCTCAGCCACCAAAGCTTTTTTACTGTTCCGGTCGTATGTCTGCTCTCAGCCACCACAGCAAGGAACTGTACGAATCTTAACTCCATTCATGTATCAGTTCATAATTTCTCTGAAAGCTCTTAAGTGTCTAAGCGACCTTGTCACGAACCAAAACATTGCCCCGACAAATCGGAGATATCGAAACTCAATATAAACAAACGCGGTCGTTCCACACTCGCCATGCAAAACACCGTGGCGAGTCAGTCGCCTTTTGAGAGTGAAGAAATCGACAAGCTTCGGAGATACTTCGCAGAATTTCAAATAAAGCTTTACAAATTACGTTTAACTGTAATTAGGCATTCTCTCTTGTTAAGATATTTCAAAATAATACTCCAAAATGGCAAAAAGAAAGTTACCGAAAGAAGTGTACTGCGAATCTGAAAGTAACGATGAAGAGTTTTATTTTGGCACCTTGAATACTGACTCTGATGTAGAAAGTGATAACATTTGTAGTGATTCTACTAGTAGTGACGTAGTTCCAAAAAAGAATTAATAAATCTTGTTTATCCTTCATAATCTTGCATGTTATGTATCACTGCTCTTTCAATGGAAATTAATTCCGACCAGTACGACACCCATGTCCAAATTTAATACGACCGCAAAGGGTTAAAGGACCATGTCATTTCTCTGAGCAAAGGCCTGGGAAGTCCACGTGACCCCTCGAAAGAGTTTGTCTCCAACCGCCCAGGGAGTGTTGAGGCCCTCCTCCATCCAGCCTGTATAGAGGGACCATAGACCAAGTTTCTTCCAGGGGGCTGAACATCTGTGAGGGGGACATAACTGACCGAATGAAAGGGAGTGAGGTCAAAGGCTAGATTCATCCTACAAGGGGAGGACAGCCAGAAGGCAGTGGCCATAAGTGAGGAGGATTCCTTCTAGACTAATTTCCAAAAAATTTTGGCTCTGTTCGGAGCCTAGCCAAGAAGAAAATATAGTCCTCTCTCCCAGATCCTTCAACTAGCCCTCAGATGCATACACATAAGAACAGCCTCTCATGTCCTGAAGCATCACTTCCCTTCCTACCTCTGGTACTTGGGTTCCAAAGAATATTCTGCTCAAGGCTCTGAAGCACCATATGAACCTGCTTCTGCTCATGACAGATATAAACTGGGTAAGGGATTAACAGAGCTCATTTCTAGAGGTATCTTGTTCAGTTTCAAGGCCTTTTTCTCACTGGAGGCACACAAAACCAGTGGATTCTGCTCAAGGGACAGTGTGACTTCTATTCTGTGTGCTCCTGCCCTGACTATACTTCAATCCAGACTACAGGGCTCAGTGATACCTATAGGCTCAACTGACTACTTAGCTAGTCAGGCACAAGCTCCTGGCCCTCTACACTTGTTCTTCTAGTGATTGGTACATGGGGGAGTACCTTCTAATGACTGGTCCAACTGGATAAGGTGCAGTAGGGAGAGGGGGAGACATGGGGTGTGGATTGGAGGTATGTCTACCAAGAATGGGTGACACTCTCAGAATGTCTGTCCCTCTCTCTTTATGGAAAATCTCCCTATGCAGTAACACCCTAGCACCACAGACCTACTGGTCAGGGATTCATGACCCTTTCTGTGGGAAACCAAACTCCCACCACCCCAAAATTTTCTTTAAATTTCTTTAACTGAAGGAGTCAATCTCTTAACTATGAGGACCTGAGCTGGCTACATACTAACTCTCACGGGCCCTGACTTGTGGAACTGGTGCCATCTGGTTGGCACAGGAGCTCAGGTCCCCTCCTCCATGGAAAGAGGCTCTGATTTGAGCTTCACAAACTCTCGAGCCACTTCGTCATTGCTCAGGGGGATTTTTTTTTTAAAGACAATAGATGGGAAAGAGATTAGGAGAATCTCCTTTGTCTGGTACACATACACCATTCTCATATAGATAACACCAAAAATTAAGACCTCCTCTGAGACAGTTCTGCATTATCTCGTCCGCTTACCTGTAAGTATAATACAAGGGTGAATAAAGAATGGTACTTTTTACTACTGTCAAACTGTCAACAAGAATCAAAGCACAGGAAGGTGCCCAGAAAGCTGAAATCTATTCTTCTCTAAATTTTCTGCTCATTGAAAAACATAGGACATAAAAAGCAATGGTGACATAGCTGGTTCCCCCATCTAAGGGCCCAACTGACCTGTGGCTGGGCAGGGGATGGGGCATCAGGGTGCTGGATGAGGATCTGGCTCTGCTCAGGACGGGCTGTCACCATGGTGCTGGCAGTACCCACCACCATTCCACAACCACCATTGATTGAGGAGACTTGGTTGGTTAGGGTGGCTTTTAGTCTCTGTGGAAAAAGATAAGAAAAAAAAAGGTTGTCAAGGGTGAGATTCTATCGAGGGTGGGAAGAATGGGCTTGGATTTTATTACTGACTTACAGATAGTTAAAATTTCCGCAACAATTTTCCCTTAGCAGAGGAAATAAAAGAAAATGGGGGGGGGAGTGTGCACCTGGATCCCTAAAATGCCTCTCTATTCCCTGGCTATCATCCTGGGCACAGTTGGAGGGTGGGGGTGGCTGAAGCAATAGAGTCCAGATGAAAGCTCTCTCCTGGAACCTGGCCAGGTGCTGGTTACACAGCTATTCACCTCTTGGCCAGCTCTCCTGCCCACTCATCCACTCTCCATCTGTCACCCTGGAACTGAAACAGCAACTGTTCCTCTCCAAACAATCTGTGCTGCCTCTTCACTGCCATGGTCTATGGACCAGGCTCTAAAGGTGGAAGGGAGGAGATGGGAGTCCTAAATCAGGGTCTCTTTTCCTACAGCCCTCACAACAGGGTATCTTTAGCTTTGCCAAGTCCCAGAAGGTTCCCTTGCTTGGCTCACTTGAAAAACCTAGGCTGATACCACTTCTCTTAGAAAGAGCCAATGTTGCCCCAGGCTGGAATATACTCACCATCTTGGCTTCTGATGGCATAGGGTGGCCAGAGGGAGAAATGGAGCCACTGCTGTTAACTGGTGGGCCAGGGATACCAGGAATGTTGGGCACCATAGACACAGGTCTGGCCAGCTGGATCAAGAGAAGGAAGAAAAACCAGAAGTATTGGTGGGGCAACAGCTTCCCAAAATGCAGTGATTTTTAGATTGGCACATTAGGGCCTGTTCTGTGCAACCTGCCCATAGGGCATACAGGGATACAGGGCTCCTGGGAAATACCTCCCCCCATAGCACTGAATCTAATCTTCCAATGCTATGACAACTTCTATGGGAAGGGCTGGGGCTATATTGAGGAAAGTGGTGGGCAATTTGGAAGGTGCTAAGAGCCAAATGAAAGCAACCAATCAGCAGGCTGGCAAGATCAATTAGACCAGGAGCCAATTGTCCAGATGAGTCTTTGTCTAGTGTTCCATAGTAATGGATTGGCAGAGGTTAGTGAAGCGTTTGGGCAGGCTTCTATGCTCCACTAATACAGACCAGAGCCCACTTTTCCCTGGGGCTCATGTGTTTAAGAGCATTCAGGTGGAAGGGAGGGTTTGTGTGTTGGTAGGGCTGGCTGTCCCAACTACAGAGCTTACCGATATAACAGAAGGCATCTGTACTGGAGGCCCTGGCAGCACAGGCATGGCCTGCCCATTAGCAAGATGCATGACGAGAGGAAGGGAGCCAGTGGGAGACCTGGAGGACACATGAAGTGAAATGCTCATAATACAGACCTTTTTGCCTATGGATCTTTATTCTATATTATAGCAGATTTTCCAGTCTTCTCTAGTTAGGGAAGCTAAACGGCAACATTGTATAATCTTGACACCCTCATGAAGGTGGAAAAAGCAGGGAATGCTACAAGATCTTTACACTTTGCAAATTATGCAAATACCACTGAACTCAAATAGGTGGGAAGCAAATCCTATTAAGAGTTTTGAACAACTGCCCTGGCCAGTGTGGCTCAGTTGGTTGCATCATGCTGGGCACTGAAAGGTCACCGGTTTGATTCCTGGTCAGGGCACATGCCCAAGTTGTGGGTTCAGTCCCTGGTTGGAGTGCATATGGGAGGCAAACAATCGATGTTCCTCTCAAATTGATGTTTCTCTCTTTCCCTCTCCCTTCTTCTCTCTCTAAAATCAACAAAAGCATATTTGAAAAAAAGAGTCTTGCCCAACCAATGTGGCTCAGTGGTTGAGCATTAACTTATGAACCAGGAGGTCATGGTTCAATTCCCGGTCAGGGCACATGCCTGGGTTGCAGGCTCCAACTCCAGTGGGGGTTGTGCAGGAGGCAGATCAATTCTCTCTCATCATTGATGTTTCTATCTCTCTCTCCCTCTCTGAAATCAATAAAAATAATTTTTTAAAAAGAGTTTTGAATAATAAATAAACTCCATATCACTGCCATGTATAAATTCTGTCTTGCCTTAGATGAGGGAACTTGGACCAAAGTTATTTTGCAAAGGTGAATTATGCCATATGATAGCCAAATATGAATAAGTTTCTCTTGTTCCTTTCCACATTTTGCTTTACCCTATCCAAAAAGATGTCTCTTTGTATTTTTCCTAGTGGGTCCACAGAACAATAAAGCTTCAGAAGGCTGAATTCTGACAGTAACCTCTTAACTCAATGGGTACCTAGGGATAGGATGTCAAGTCATCCCACTATGAAATCTGTACAGGCTGTGCCATGAGTGAAGACAAATAGACCAACAGAATTAGAGGTAGGAAAGACCAAGAATCCTAACTGGAACTGAGGGAAACACTAAAAAAAAGATGACAATGTGTTTCAGTCCCTCATTCAGTAGTGCTCCAATAAACATCTACTGATTCAGGTCAAGAACTTATATAGTTTCCTGTGCGACCTCCATCATTATGATGAACTTCCTAAAGTTTTAAGGATTCTCCTTTTAGATCAAAGAAGTATTAAACCTCCAAAATAATGAAGTATTATCCTCAAATAAATACTTGCTGGTCTACTCAAAAGAGAGAGGAATCTATTTTGAGAGACAATCATAGTGACTCATTTTCTTTGAGTGTTCAAACAGTCCCTGTTTTATCAAATAATTTTACAAAGTAGAAAAAAAATTCAGGCTTCATTATTTCTCTCTGCTCTTTACTTACCCCAGTTGCCTGTTGGATGGTGGAGCCTGTGTGATGACAGAGGTTGGGGAGGGAAGGGTTGGGTGAAGTGGATCATAGCCCAAGTGGAGAGGCAGGGAGCCAGGGCGTACAATGGTAGGCGTTGGGGTAGATATCACAATAGGCTTGGGGGCAATTTCCTGGGGAGAAGAGACCAACAGATCACAAAGTGCTTAAGGGGCCGTTTATAGAGAAATACGTAGCTGGTAAAATCTAGCACAAATTTATTGGAAAGAGCATTAGAGCAAGTCATGTTGCTCCAGGGTCATGGACCATACCTCACTCACCCATTCAGTAAAAATGCTGAGTTAAGACCTTTTGGCTATCCCCCTTTCATCAGGGATGATGCCCATATGAATGAGATGAGAGTTGAAAAATCACTCGAAATCTCTGTAGAAGCATTGTAGTATCATATAAATTCTAAAAATTGTTATAACTTTTCACAATCTAGTTACTGTCATTCTAAACTTGATACTGTCACTCTAAACTTTGTGTCCTGTGATCTCTAACAGGAAAAGGCAGGTACAGGTATAAGACTGGTGATAAGGCAACCCAATTATCTTCTTTAAAAAAGGGCTATGAAGTTTAAATAATGATCAGATTGTAATAAAACAAACTGCTTCCCACTGTTAGGATCTTGGGTTACCAGTGGCCACACTGGCCATGAAAACATCTCCAGACAGCTTCTAGGACCTGGCTGCTGATGAAAAGGAGAGAGGGGAAGGTTGTAATTTTTTTTTTTTTTTTTGGCGGGGGGGCTGGGATGGAGGAAGTGGCGTTGTAATGTTTATGGAGGGAATGGTTTTAGAAGTTATCAAACCAAGTTTGGAGGGAAGTAAAATGAGCTATAGATGCATTATTCAAAGTGGATATTAAAATTAATAACTGCTGGTAGAACAGTAGAGATTGGAAGGAGGCATGAGGGGGCTTCTGAGGTTCTGATAATACCTGGGCACTAGTTACAAAGTCTGTAAACTTTGTGAAAATTCAGTGAGCTGTATACTTACAATTTATGTACTTTTCTGTACATGTACTATATTTCAATAAATGTATAAAAAATACTTCTTCTTAAAATGTTTCCTTTAAAAAATATTCAGAATCCTAGTAGATACTCCCTGTAAGTCACTAGAAGACTTACCTCTGGGAAGACTTTTTAAAAAATTGTTTAATGTCCAGTTTATAAACTAAGTGATTTTCTTTTTCACTTATTAATTAAAGTACTACATAAATACAGTAAAGTGCACTGACTAAGGTACAACTAAATGACTTTTTACATATGTAAAACCAAGACAGAGCCCATTTCTAGCACCCTGGAAGGTTCTCATGCATCCCTTCCCAATCCATACCTTTCCCCACAAGAGGTTAAACATTATTCTGAGTTCTATCACCATCAAATAATTTTGCCTTTTCTTGAACCTGATGTAAATAAAATTACATAGTATGTGCTTCTGTGTATGAATTTTTTTGCTATTGTTCAATATAACATTTGTGAAATTCATCCTTATTGCTGTGTATATCATTAGCTTATTCTTTTTTAATGCCATGTAGTATTCCATTTTATAAACATACTACACTTTGTTCATTTTCTTGTTGATGGACTTCTTCCAGCTTTTTTACTATTATCAATAAAACGGTTATGAACCTTCTCATACACTTCTTTGGGTGGACATACACACTAATTTCATTTCCACATTGACTTAAAAGTAGAACTGCTGGGTCACAGAGTAGGTATAATTTATATAAATCTTCTGAACAATGAACATTTATTTGAATATATTCCATCTTCCTGTATCACACACTATACAACTATGAATCAAAATGTAATCTATTAATTAACATGTGGGATGACTTCTGATAGAGAATTTTACCTTGTCCTTGAGCACCGGGGAGCAGGGGCTGGAGGCAGGGCTGTCAGGTGGGGATGAGTCTACCTCCACTGGCCCCTCTTCTTTGACTTTAATGTCTGGTGTGGAAGGCAGAGACATGTCAAGGGGCCCTGCAGCCGCCTGCTAGGAGAGAGAAATGCGCATAGTTTAACCCCATGATTCCCTTCAAGTTGAAGCTGTATCTTCCCAGTTAAAAGATGAGGGAATAAACTTCTAAGAAGTTTAGTCCTTGGTCAAAGTGCCAAACTGCAAGTCAAAGAAATGTGAAGCCAAGGTTTTATGTACAACTTTGGCCAAATCCATTCAACTTCTCAGGGCTTCTGCTTCCCTAACTATAAAATGGAAATAACACCTGCTTCACCATGGGTGAATACTTAGAAAGATTCTGAAAGGGAAAAAATACTCACAATGCTTATAAAGACCCTGAAAGGAAAAAAAATATGTGATTTAAATCCATCCAAGTATTATGATATTATTTTTCAGGAAAGTAAAATGATTCCTGAATCCAGTGCCTGCCTTTTCCCAACCAGCTCAATTGGCCACTGGAGAATTGTGAACACTTTTTCTGCCAACCACATGCTAGATTACCCAATTATCAAAAGCAAATAAAGACAAATTGATGATTAAAGTACTGAAAACAACATAAGAAAGACCTTTTCTAGGGTATGCCCCATGTTTGATGGTGATTTCACCCCCAAATCTGGTGCTAGAAGCTGAAAGTTAGGAAGACAGAGCTTCAGGGTAACGGAGAAAGGAAAAGCTGATCACTTGATCTGTGAAAGAAATGGGAAGTTGGTCCTAGGAGCAGGACTGGAGAAAACCAGAAATAAAAGAGAGTACATTCCTAGCATTGGTGCCACCACCTCACAGAACTGTGGAGCCATAAGTGGCTTTGCAGGGAAAATAAACAATCCGAGATGATGGCCCTGACATTGCACCATGACAGGGGCATGACCCGATGGCATTGCAGTTCAGTTTTATGACTACGTCAATCCTTTGTTCTAGTCTTCCTAAATCCTAGAATTCTTGGCGAAAGAGGAGTTTGTTTCTAACTCTTCCTTTGCTACCTTAATCCCTAAAAATGTTCTTGGTAGTTGAGCAAAATGAAGATAGTCTTGTGTCTACCACATTAGAGAAGGTGATAATGGTTCTTTTTCTCCAATATGATGGAGGTGAGCAATAGCAAAGATGGTTTCACTTCTGCCCTAATTTTTTCTACATTTATAAGATATCAGGCCCAACTGAGCTAATCCTGGGATCCCTGAAACCAGAGGGTGGTGGGAAGGAGAGGCCTCTCAACCACAGGTTTAAAATCCCTCTGGGGCACATCCTAGAAAAGCTGTGGTTCAGGAAAGTTGTGGGTTCATAAAACACTCCTGGAGATAATCTTACATTGAATCTGTGCTTCTCATCAAGGCGAGGTGAAGACAGGCAGGAAGAGATACTCAATGAGTAAAGGCCTGACCAACTATGAAAGGCTTCTCAGAAGTGTCAACAGAGCAAAAATGGCAATGGAAAAGACCTTAAACTTTTCATAGGAGGCTAATTTTCTTGAATTTGCCTATAATGAGTTTGGTTTAAAATCCCTCACATCCTGGAGGAAAAAATTGGACGTATTTCCTTTTTCTTTCTTTTTTTTTTGTAATTCAGCTTGCTCAACTGATTGATTTCTTTGTTTTGGGAGAGGGAGAAATTATACCACACAGGATGAAACAACTGAGAGACTGCCCTGTCAGTGTGGCTCAGTTGGTTGAGCGTCGTCCCATGCACCACGAGGTTGCAGATTCGATTCCTGATCAGGGCACATGCCCAGGTTGTGGGGTCGATCTCCAGTAGAGGGTGTGGAGGCAGCCAATCGATGTTTCTTTCTCATCAATGTTTCTATCTCTCTCTCCCTCTTCCTTCCTCTCTCTAAAGTCAATAAAAACATATTTTTTAAAAAGAGAGACCTGTGTCTCCAAAGAAAAAGAATAATGAGAAGGTTAGTTCTGCCTTTTGAAAGTAGAACTACAAATACATGCCACTGCCTTCTTTCAGTTTGAGGGAGGCAGCATGAGAAGAAACTCATAGAAAGGTATGGAATGTATAAAGACTTCCAGTGATATGGACACTTTATCTTGCATTCTTACTGGTACAATTTAAGCTGAATGGAAAAATCATGTACAATTCCCTCTCAGAAGGCAACAGCTTTCCTGGACATTTTTTCTTATATTCTGGCTTTGCTATATTCTGATGGGATTTCATGTCTTACTTTGTCATGCAATTGTGGAGTATACATGTGGTTAATGTGTACATGTTCTGAGATCATATATTGGATTTTTCTGAATTATTAGGGAACACATGCCTGATTTTAAAGTGACCAATAACCCAGAATTTCAATTCTAAAGTAGAATAAATTTTGACCTTTTCCCTGAAATCCCTATACCATGGGAAGTATTTTTATTTGACTCAGTTTCCTGAACTATTTCCTCTGGTCTTCCAAATTGAAGGATTCTCTAGAGATTTGGAATATAAAGTCTAAAATCAGAATCACAGCACCTGAAGATGCGATGGTATTCCAGCATTTTAATCCTTTCCACAGTTATCGACACTAAATGACCTACATATAATTCAATGCACTCGGTGACAGCTTCCACCTGCTGGCCATACTTGTACCTCTGAGCCATACAAAATAAATTTAACCCTTCTTTTACATGAAAACTCTTCAAATATTTAAGACTGAACTTTTGTTCACATTGTCTTCTCTTTCCAAGCAAAACTTCCTCTATTTCTGTAAATATTCCCAAAGTGACATAATTTCTAGTTCTTTCAACCATTCTGGTTGATCTCCTTTGGAAAGCAGTAAGAACATCCTTCTTTAAGAAAAGTTGGTTAGAGTGTCGTCCTGATAGCCAAGGCTGCAGATTTGACCCACCAGTTAGGGCACATATAAGAATCAACCAATGAATACATAAAAATGTGGGACAACAAATCGATGTCTCGATGTCTCTCTCTCTCACCCCTCTCTCTTTCTCAAATCAACCCATACATAAAAAGGAAAACAGGCAGAACAGTCTTCGCCGAGACTTGCTGTGGTTTCCTGCTTCAACAGTGCTTGGACGGAACCAGTACTGACCCCCAACCCAGCCAGCTGCCCAGATCCAGCGTTCCACTACCTCCTCACAGCACCCTGGGACTGCCCCAAGGGCCCCCCCCCCCCCACTGCTCCAATGCCACACATCTGCCTCTCCTCAGCCACCCACCATGAGGACTGTGCCCACCTCGCAGGCGCTAGAACTGCCACCTGGACTTGGAGGCCTCCATCAACTGCCAGATCAGCCTGGAGCTCTATGCTTCCTAAACCCATCTGTCCATGTCTTTCTACTTTGACTGTGATGCTGTGGCTTTGGAGAACTTTGCCAAGTATTTTCTTCACCAATCTCATGAGGAGACGGAACATGCTGAGAAACTGATGAAGCTGCAGAATCAACTAGGTGGCCGAATCATCCTTCAAGAAACCAGATCTCAGTGACTGGAAGTTTGGGCAGAATGCAATGGTGTGTGCATTACACTGGGAAAAAAGAGTGAATTAGTCACTACTGGAACTGCACAAACTGGCCACTGACAAAAAATGACCTTCATTTGTTTGACTTCATTGAGATTCACTACCTGAATAAGCAGGTAAAATCCATCAAATAACTGGGTGACCACATAACCAACCTGAGCAGGTTGGAGGCCCCTGAAACTGGCATGAAGACAGACCCCCAAAAGACGTGAGTGGCTGACTAGGATTAGTGGGTATTCTCTGTTTCTATAGAACCAAACCTGTAATTTTGTGCTTTAACCAATTAAACAAATTATCCCAGGGCACAATGAGAATAGCCTAGATTCAAACACCACCAGTTTTTCAGTATAAGTCCCGCCTCTTACCTTTTTCTCATCCTCATCTGCAGCTTTCTTGAATTCATGTTCAAAGGAGCTAGCTAGTTCATTGAAGAGCCCCACCTCCTCACAGTTCTTCAGGAATCTAGTTGGAGTAGGAGTTTGATCTGTAGACATGAAAAGAAAGGAAATTCTATTTTAGTTTTGACCTAAAATTAAAACTTGAGAGTATGTAGAGAGCACATTTTATTCTTCTATTTGGAGAGAGTCTCGGTGTTAGGGCGAATTTGCTTTCATGGATCTCCAGTAGGTGAAGGCTGGTGCTAGGCCACCAGAGGGTGTCTGTGCTGTGTTGCCTCAAGGCCAGCAGAGGGAAGACAGAACAATGTTTTGTTGTGTGACTATCCATGTAACCATCTTTCTCCCAGAGGCTGGTTTTACCTACCTCACCCCCAAACAAAACCAAACCACCCACCCAGGTGAAGTTTGTGAAACCTCCAGATTTGAAAATCAAGTATAGCTAAGCGACATTTTCTCTTTAAACTTACTCCCTGCTAGGTCTGAATTGAGCAGTTATAAGCAGATGAATGTTAACATCTGATGAGGAGAAGAAACCGAGGCTCAGGTGGTTGAGTTTGTTTGCTAACGCTACCAAATTAGAAATGGTGCATTGCCTTTCAGTGGTCATACAAAATAAATTTAACCCTGAGGTAAGGGTCTGCTACGTTCTTAAGGCATTCCAGGCAGATCTAGGGGCGAGGGAACAAGACAGCAAGATCATGAGCTAGAAAAGGAAACTGCAAACAATAGAACAAAAACCTGGACCCAGAGCAAATTCCGGAAACCAGGATATTTGGATTTAGATTTGCCAGCCAAAATATCCTCTTAGGGGCTGCACAAATCTTTCCTCAACACAGTGCCTCTCTACCCTTGGGAAGAGGAAGGCTCTCCGTAACCCATGGCAACTTTTCAAGCAACCTGAATTTTATTTATTTATTTATTTAAAAAAAATGTTTAAACCTGTTTTTTTTTTAAAAAAAATATTTTTATTGATTTCAAAGAGGAAGGGAGAGGGAGAGAGAGACAGAAACATCAATGATGAGAAAATTATTGATCGGCTGCCTCCTGCAAGCTCCCTATTAGGGATCGAGCCTGCAACCCAGGCATGTGCCTTTGACCAGAATCGACCGGACCCTTCAGTCCGCAGGCCAATGCTCTATCCACTGAGCCAAACCAGCTAGGGCCAAGCAACATGAATTTTAGATCTGAACTTCTCTCTCCCCATTGTTTTTCTAGTTTTTCTCTTAGGTCAGCTGAATCTTGTTCCCTTATCCTAACTCTTTTAGATATTTTTCCTTGACATGATAGTTACCTCATGGATTCATCTCATACCCCAAACCACTAGGTTGAATGATAGAAATAGAACAATGTTTAAATAATATTTTAAGAAGTGACACCTGGTATTAAAATTGCTCCTTCTAGCATGATCGATTGGGAATAATCCAGTGGGATATTCCATGGAAACAACATAATTTTCAAAAATTTTAAACAAAACCTCTTCTGAATCAGAGTGTTTGGAAAAGTTACCACTACCTCCCAAAATAGTTTTAAAAGCTTCTCTGGCAGCTTTGGTTGGCCAACGATAAAGCCACTTTCCCTCCATCCCCGGGTGAGTAGAGGTAATATCATCCTTTAGGCTTAGAGAGCGCTTCAGTAAGGACACACAGAAAATTACCACTCAAGTGAACCAGGATGGGGCAGCTAAGGGCATGGCTATGGCAGAAGAGGGCCTTTGGATCTCTGATCTGAGGCCCATACAAACTTCTTCCATTTCTGAACAATGTATAAGAAAATGTATAAGAAAACCCTTAACCTGCTCTGATAATTCTGAAGCAATCAACAAGTGTTTACTGAGTACTTTTTCACTTTTGGTGCTACATGCATACATTTGTGTAGAAATCTGGGGGAGAAGAGAAATAGGAATATAGGAGTTTTGCCCAAATATAAAACATGGCTCTTGCCCTAGAGAATAAGAGAATGCTTTCTAGATGAGGAAATAAAACAATTATACATAAATAACATCATAGTGTACAAAAATCATGTGCAGTAGAGAATAAAATTATTGCAGAAATTAAATAAAGATAAATTAATGACAGAGTAGTTAGGAGGTTTCTAGAAGCACGACTTGAGTTGGGCCTTAAAGAATGGCTTTAGATGGTAAGGTGGGTGAAGGCACAGAGAGAGGCAGGACGCGGGCACCATGTATAGATGAGGAGAAAAAGGTAGGTCTAGGTCAAAGGATAATCATGTTAGGTACATAAGTTGTATATAAAGTTGGGCAGGTACCATGGGGCTAGGTTATAGAAGGTCTGAAAATCCAAGTATGAATAGCCTTAAAGTAAGAGAAAATGGGAAAATAATGATAGATTTTGCGCGGAGGAGAAGAATTTAAGGAAGATTGGCTTTTCAGTAGAATGAAGATAGATTATAATGAGAGAGTAGTCAAGGAGAGAGAGACCAGCTAGGAGACTATGGAGGAATTCAAGCATAATGAGGGTGGTGGCAGGAAGAGCAGGATGGAACAGAACAGAGAGAATCTGAAGAGAAAAATAAAACGACTCAAAATTTTGAGAATATCATCACTGAATAACAAAGGAAAAGAAGTTGGTTTAGGGGACAAAGATAAATTTGGTCGTTGACATGAAGATTTGAATGACAGAAAGCCAGCAAGTCAACTGTTCAATTAGGATTGGAATACATGTGAGACACCAGGTCATAATTCACAGATATGAGAATTAGCAGCCTAGACAGAATAGCTGAAGTTATGTGCAACGGGACGAGCATTCCAGAACAGCATGCAAAAAATAACAGAAATCACTTTCTCTCCTTGGGACTGTCCTGTATCAATTTCTCACCACTCCTAGAGACTCAGCATAGGCGTTTACACCATTCCTAATAACCTCTCCAACTTGATAACCTTGCCTCAAATTTACCTCTTTCATAAACTGTCTATGATTAATTCCATTTAATATTAATTCTCTTAGTATTTTTATTGTTTGTATTATTCACTTATATTAGACTACAAATACTAAAATTATTTTCATGAATACATGACCTGACTTAATAAATTTAAATATGTTACCTGAATATATGTTAAATCCTATAGTTACTCTTTCCTCTAAAACCTCCACTAGCTTTCTTCTTTTTTAAATTTACATTTTTATTTATTGATGAGAGAGAGAGAGAGAGAGAGAGAGAGAGAGAGAGAGAGAGAGAGAGAAACATCAATTTGTTGTTCCACTTATGTATGCATTCATTGGTTGCTTCTTGTAAGTGCCCTGACTGGGGATCAAACCCGAAACTTTGGCATATTGGGACAACATTCTAACCAACTGAGCTATCCAGCCAGGGCTCCCCTGAGCTTTCTTAAGGATCATTAATGATATCCACTCATGTCCTTTTCCAGGAATTACAAGCTCCTAGCAAAGTAGATATTCAGTCAATAAGAAATAGGAGATCTGTAAGGGCAAATCCCTTTCTTCATGTATAGAAGCATGGAGAGAGGTTAAATACTGAGGTAAGCTTGCTTAACTCAGGCTAACTCAGAACCCCCTCATGGTATCGAAAGAAAAAGCCCACTTTGGTTTGTATGCCTGTCTAGTTGAAAATGGCACAACAGAACTGCTGCTGCACGGTTTGAGAGAGGTTGCTGAGAACGGTCCCTAGAGATGGCATATGTAAGCAAGACAAACTCTAAAACAACCAGTGAGAGGTTCCAGGTCACCCAAATTGGCACAGAAAAGTCCCATTGACAAATGTCTTGTTTGAACTTTGGAAATGTGCCCTCAATGGTGTCTGGGTTCACAAGGGAAGCTGAATTTACGAACTGACAATCTGTCTGCTTGGGGAAAACTGACACCCAGTGGATGAGAAGCAGCCAGACGAGGGCGGCTTCCCTGCTTTTGTTCACCCCTTCATTATGGGTAGGGAGAAATGTCAAAGGCATCTTCTGTCTATAAATCTTCCAAAGTCTTAATAAAAAGAAGGCAAGGAGGAAATAGACTGAAAAAAGCTAAGATAAAACCTTAACACACCTACCCTCAAAAACCAAAGAACCCAATCTTGTATTAAAAATAGAGAGTAGAGGGCACAATAGAAACTTGGGAGCTTTTAGTGTTCCTTTTTCCTGATTAATGCAGATCACATAAGGGTTCTTAATGGGAGAAGGGGAGTATAGCTCCCAGTACATCTGGTCCCTGGTATTAATCTTAACTGTCTGGTGATATCAAGGCACGTGGCTTCTGGAGTAAAAAGTACCTGCAATGATGACTGAGTCAGTTCGGGCTGGGCCAAATTTCAATGTCATCTCATGCTTGTGTTTATGAACTGCCAGGTGGTCCTCGTTTGTAAATCTCTGAAACGAAACAGAAATGGAGATGTGTAAAAAACAACAACACTTCAGTGCCCTTTTAAAATGTCCTACCAAACATCCTGTGATAAGGTTGGTTGCTGGAAAGAGGGATTTGAACAGGGAATGGAAAGGAGGAAAAAACTGGAAGTGATAAGAAAGGAGAGGTGATAGATTTAAAAAGAGAAAATAGGGAGGAGAAAAAGAGGCACTATAAAGCTGGGAGGAGAGAGGAAGGGGAAGAGTGTAGCCAACTGCTCTGTAATATTAGGTCCAAATGAGAGAAATGGACAGATTGTTGCTAAAGTGGGATCCAGGCAGGAGGCTTCAAATGAAAAAAAAAAAAAAAACACATTAAGGCAAACTCATAGTGAACAAGGGGAAAATAATTTTTAATAATAATAATAAAGAGAGAAGGGAAAGGCTGGGCACTCACTGGTCATCACAAAAATAGGAAGTTCAGAATTAAGCTCTCCATGGTAGGGCTGAAATGGACTATTTATGCGGGGGCTAACAGGGAGATAAATTATGCAGGATTAGGAGAACCATTTAACTTCCTGGCCCCCACAATGCTGCAGCAGGAGCCTGCCCAGCTATTTGGCTCAGGGTTTTAATGAGTCAGGATGGAGCTGTAGAGGACAGAGGCCCAATGGCCAGCGGTAATGGCACACACCAGCCCCATTGGCCAAATGCTGTCTCCCCTCATTGGGCAGCCCGCCTGGGCTCCATGAGCCATAAAGGGGCCAGTACTATGCTGCTGGCTATGGAATGGCAGAATAAAAATGCAAGCAGAATTTTTATTGTTAGGGTAGGGAGAAGCCAGCAGGCAAGATGAGGGGAAGGGAAAAGAAGATGGTGTAGAGATTTTATTTATTTAGGGGTTTGGGTGAAAGGACAATGAAAAGGTGAGGCTAGGTCTGCCTCAGTTTATGACTAAGTAAGACAGGGTTACTGGACAATAATTGATGCTCGGACCTGTTCTTTAAAAGGGGGAGGTGAAGAGAACAGATGAACAGCAGTAATTCAAAAGACTGATACCCTCAACATTCCTGTTGAGGCTGGCTGGCCATGTTCCTTCATTAAAACACACCTACAACACGTAACAGCGTGGACGCTGCAGTTTTTCACAGTTCCTTCACCAGCTAGGCTCTGAAAATGCTTCTATTTATCTTTCTGTTTCTAAAAAAAATGATTGGTTAGTTCCCTCTTTTCACTCGCTTCATGAAATATCTATTTCCCACCAAACACTATACCTTTAGCCCTCTTTTCCACAGCTCTTCTTCTTTAAATTGATTTTAGAGAAAGAGAGGAAAGGAGAACTATATAGAGAGAAATATCAATTTTTGTTGTTGCACTTATGAATGCATTCATTGGTTGATTCTTGTATGTGCCCTGACCAGGGATCAAACCTGCAATCTTGGCGTATCAGGACTCTAACCAACTGAGCTACCCGACCAGAGCCCCCACAGCTCTTCTTGCTTGTAAACTAAACAGAGAGGAGTTGGCCCCATTCCGGCTACTATCAAGTCAAGTAAGCATTACTAAACTGTTTAAGTTCCTTTATTTTACCTGAAAGTAGCTTACCCCAAATTTTCTCTGAGCCCCTATCATAACTAAAGCCAGCTTAAGACCTAAAGTCCACAGGCCTGAAGGACAAAGGGAAATTTCAATTAAAAGTATGAAGGCCCAGGCCGGTGTGGCTCATTGGTTGAGCATTGTTGGTTGAGCATTGTCCCATGCACCAAGAGGTCACTGGTTCTATTCCCGGTCAGGGCACATGCCTGGTTTCAGGCTCAATCCCCAGGAGGGGATGTGCAGGAGGCAGCCGATCAATGTTTCTCTCTAACATTGGTTTCTCTCTCCCTCCCTTCCCCTTCCTCTCGCTCTAAAAAAAAAATAAAAAAAAAAATAAAAGTATGAAGAACTAAGAAGTAAAATAGTCAAAAGAAGAATGTCTTAGTGGTTTCCAGTGAATCAAGTGTGGGGAAATTTAGCCAAGAGCTTTCATGTTCTCTACTAGTTGGTTAACCCTAGGCAAGAACTTTTTCCAACACAGCTTTTTCCTTAAGGAAAAAAGGATGGGGTAGGGTGAGAAAGGAAGGCATAACAGTCTGTTACCCAGGGGTTTGATATTTGTTGATTAAACAAGTCACTGAGACTGCCAAGTGGTTGGTAAAAAGAAATGAGGAGAATCTAGTCTACAATGGAGAAAAAGCATCATTTTGGAGGGAAAAGAATAGTAGTGAATTAGACAGGGGTATAAATTTTCAAAATGCACTGGACATGTTGCAACAATCTTTTTCAAAAGTATGTTTATAAATTCTTCAAGAAAATTTCATGTAGGTAGCTTGGAAAATTCTGCACAATGTTCTAGAATCTAGAAGACTAACTTTCAAACAGAAAGGATTTTTCTATTATCAGAAATATAGTTTGCTCAAAACTGAGCTGACAGAAAGATTTTAAACCTCCATCAGGCTTTGCTCTGGTTAGGATTGTTTAATATTTTAAAAAGCAACTCCCCTTCTGTTACAACTTTGCTGCACAGTCCTGACTTGTTTTGTTTGTCCTCTAGCTCTTGTTCCTCTTTGTTGCACCCTCGCTCCCTTCTATGACATCCTTTTCCCTATTGAGCTATTTATTTTTCCCCAAATCAAAAGTTGGGGCTGAAGAGAACTAAAAGTGGCTGAAGAGAACTCCCACCATTAGAATGTCAGAGGGTTTGATAACTGTGAAAATGGATAGGAAAAAAAATTCCATCTTAATTCTCACTAAACTCTAACTGAAATCTAACATGCCTAATTCATAATAGCAATCACACATATTTTCATATCACATTACAGCTATTAAAAATCTCAAAATGTCCTTTATACTCATCACTACTTTGAAATTATGATAGTCACAAGAACTACCATTAGAACTTGCTATTTACCGTAATGGATCAATAAAAAAGCATATATATTACATTATAAAATATTAAAAAAAACTTTTTTGACAACTATATTTCAAAATAATTGGTTTCCTTTGTAATCCTATGTATTATACTTTATTAATTTTAAAACATGATTTTGAGAAGGGGTCCATGGGCTTCACCAAACTCCCAATGGGGGTCATGACACCACAGAAGTTAAGAATCCCTGATTACAGCAGGTGGTGTACTTCAGAGGAAGAGGAGCCAAATGGGCTGAATTTTACAAGGCAGGGCTTCAGTCATCTCTCTCTCTATTTCTTTCTATTTAAAAATTTTTTTAAAAAAATCTATTTTAGAGAGACAGAAATAGAAAGAGAAACACAGATTTGTTGTTCCACTTATTTATGCATTTATTGGTTCATTCTTGTATGTGCCCTGACTGGGAACCGAACCTACAATCTTGGGGTATCTGGATGTTGCTCTAACCAGCTGAGCTATTCTGCCAGGGCTCTTTGATATTTCTAACACAATTCTTGTATGGCTAGAGTAGGAAGTGGAGAATAAAAGTTTACTTAAGCTTTTTATCGCCCTAGCCGGTTTGGCTCAGTGGATAGAGTGTTGGCCTGTGGACAGAAGGGTCCCAGGTTCGATTCTGGCCAAGGGCACATGCCTGGGTTGCAGGCTCGATCCCCAGTGGGGGACATGCGAGAGGCAGCCAATCAATGATTCTCTCTCATCATTGATGTTTCTATCTCTCTATCCCTCTCCCTTCCTCTCTAAAATCAATATATATATATATTAAAAAAAATAAAGCTATTTATCAAAGTGAATGTCAATTTGGCCATTATTCCATTGTTCCTTATATTCCCTCTCATGTATTAAGAGTTAATTCTTAATGATTCTCTAGATTAGTCTTGAACTGCACGCCTAGGAAACTATCCCTCTGTAAGCAAATTCTCAAAATACCTAAAATTATTAGGTGATGAAAATTTTGGTTTTTTAAAATATAGATTATTCTATTGAATTAAAATGAGTGGAGGAGCTCTCCCCAAAATTTCCTTTTTTGAATTATTAGCTATTTAAAAATCTAGCTGTCCCATTTGTTAATACCCTTGTTAATGGGTCTTCCTTTGTTGTTTGGTTTTACCTATGACTAAGGTTTTGGCAAAGAGCCACTCAGGGAATTCTGGTTGTAGGGCAAACAATGATAATTTTCAGTAAATGTGTAGAAATTTCCAAGACACAGAAGGTGGGCATCATTCAAAATGAGGACTGAAGAATTTGAGTCACACAGAATCAGGAGAAGGCAGTTTATGTGCCTTGAGAGAAGATTTATATAGTAACACAAGAATAGAATCTTTTTGTTTGTTAATCCTCACCTGAGGATATGTTTCCATTGATTTTTAGAGGGAGTGGAAGAGAGGGAAAGATAGAGAGAAATATTGATGTGAGAGAAACACATAGATTGGTTGCTTTGCATGGGCCCAGAACAGGGCCCAGGCCAGGGAGGAGCCTGCTACCAAGGTACGTGCCCTTGATTGGAATCGAACCTGGGACCCTTCGGGTCCACCTGCCGATGCTCTATCCACTGAGCCAAACTGGCTAGGGCTTACTTCTACTTTTTAATGTGGCTTCTAGAAAATTTAAAATTGCATATGTGGCTTGCATTTTACTTCTTTTGAAACAGCTCTGATCTAAATAATATGCTCAGAGATCTGATAGGAATTTTAATTTTATGCCAATCTTGAATCTTTCCCCCTAATCTCATTTTCCCTAAATGCTATTTATATTATACTAGAGGCCCGGTGCACGACATCTGTGCTCTTGGGGGGGGGGGAGTGGGTGTCCCACAGCCCAACCTGTGCCCCCTTGCAGTCCGGGCCCCTTGGCGGACATCTCCTGAGGGGTCCTAAGCGCTGCTGCGGAAGTGGGAGAGGTTCCCTCCACCGCCACTGAGCTCGCCAGCTGTGAGCCCACTGGCGAGCCCGGCTTCTGGCTGAGCAGTGCTCCCCCTGTGGGAGCACACTGACCACCAGGGGGCAGCTCCTGCGTTGAGCGCCTGCCCCCTGGTGGTCAGTGCGCATCACAGCGACTGGTC